TTTATTCCCAGTGTCTCTAAATGTTCCAGTTCTTTGTTTCTCAATGTTAGTTCTTCGATTTGTGATAAAAGCAGAAGTGCTTTTGAAATGATAAACAACCCCACATTCCTATCAAAGCATGAAAATTATTTTTGAATTTCAAGTAAGTAGAAAATTAAAAGACTAATAAATATTTGATTTTGGTACTTCTGGAGGATCTTTTTTCTTTTTTTTACTTCCTACAGAAGCAAATGTTTAGGAAGGTGGGGTTAGATCTTACTTTTTGTTTGTTTATTTTAAATTGTGGGCTTTTGGTTTGCTTTGCTTCGCTTCATTGTTCTAGACAGCATTTATTATGTTACCAGATGCATATAGTTATATAGATCATACCATTAGATCAGAAAAATCTGTATAATCAGTGTGGTTTAAATGTTTCTTAAGGTCAAGTTGTAGGTCATGACCCTATGCCAATCAATGAACTTTGCTCCTAATTTTATGTTTAAATCACTTGAAAAAATGCATTCTTTTAGAAAGAGACATAGATACCACAAGAAATAGATACCACAATACATACCACAAGAGTGTGGTATGATATGAATCCATCTCTACCCCAGGAAAAAAGAACAAAGATGGTCTGGCTGTGGGGGTGCTCTTCCTGCACGTGGAAGATGGTTCATTCAGCTGTACTTCTGTTGGCTCCACATCTTAGCCGCTGTTATCACCAGCACACCATTGTTCTCTCCTTGTAGAACCCAGTAGCCTGGGTGTTCAATTAATCTTTGGCTGCTTCAGGGAGTTGCCAATGAGTGGAAATTCTGCCAATGATCTGTGACACCCTTTTCAACAAACATTAATTGAGTGACATTTCTTTTTTCCCCAAATCATCCATCTGTCCTTTCTTATGCAACTTTTGAGTTTCAAAGAGTAGAAGGCAAGCTTTCTTTTGGTCACACTTGTGGCCTAAGAAGGCAGTCTACGTATTGGACACTATAATCTACTATGGCCTTGTAAATAAATCTAAATATTTACTAGACTGAACCAACATGCTAAATACGAAATGAATTAATTCAGTCTTCTTTTCCGTTTGCCCACTTAAACATCTTGCTTTTGTGAAGGGCTTCGGAAAATGGAAGACCCAAAGCTTCCATATGCTTTTTAATTGTTTAGGGGTACAAATGGGAGTGGGAAAATAAGGTTAAGGCAGTAAGAACATTTTCAAACTCATAGGTTAAAAAATATAAGATCGAATTTTTTAGTTTATATACAATTTTAAAAATTGTTTTAAAGTACCAGAAAGTATCTCACTTATAGTAGTGCTGTTTAGTAAATCAGAGAACATACATCAAGTTGTCTTTGAAGTCCCGTTGCTTGGATATTAAAATGAAATTTTAAAAAATGGAGCTGGTATCTATTTTTCAGTAGGTCAAAAGGCATTCATAATTACACTCATGATTTTTGAGTATCATGCTAATGAGGCTAAGAAAATGTAGACCTTGACATTGCCTTGTTTGTTTACATTCACTATGAAAAGAAAATGTTGTTTACCCCTTGGGAATTTTCTTAAGGAAAAGAAAAATCAATCTCTATCAATGAGCAATATTTTTCTCCCCAAGGGATATTGATTTGAACATTGACTTCACAATGGGTGAGTTATTTCCCTCAGACCCCCTACTAAGAATTGTTAGGTGACATGTCTCGTGTGAGCCAATAAACATGTTTCTAGTATAGTAATCTCATCTGGGAGATGACAACATCTGAAGGGTGGTTGATTTGGAATATTTCACTTTTTGTACGTCTGTGTAAAATAGTCCTGAGAAATATATTTCAAGTTTAAAAAGCATGACCTCTCATATTCTTCTTGGGGGAACAGGTGGCAGTGAACAGTTTCTTTCCTACATGCTCCTCAACTACATGTCCTCTGGGCTTGCGCATAGACCCATGACTCATGAATAGTCCTATAAATGTCTTCATGATTCCCTTTTCTCTCTTTATGCAGTGGAATGATATTGGCATTTTAAATTTTGAAAATAAAGCAAATTTTCAATTTACCAGAGAAATCATTCTTTAAAGGAATGCTGTATTGGGTGGAGATAAGGGAAAGAATGAGGACTGTGGAATTCTTGTTAATGGGAATGGTCAGACTCTATCTGTTGGATTCATGTGTAGTATGTTTTCCTCACCTGTAATCCCAGCACTTTGGGAGGCTGAGGTGGGTGGATCACTTGAGGCCAGGAGTTCCAGACAAGCCTGGCCAACATGGTAAAACACTGTCTCTACTAAAAATACAAAAAATTAGCTGGGCGTGGTGGCACACTCCTATAGTCCCAGCTATTCAGGAGACTGAGGCAGGAGAATTGCTTGAACTTGGGAGACAGAGGTTTCAGTTAGCTAAGATTCCACTACTACACTCCAGCCTGGGACATAGAGGGAGACTGTCTCAAAAAAAAAAAAAAAAAAAGGTTTCTTTATTAATTCTCCTAAAGGGTACATTTAGAATTTACATTAGATTGCCTTGAACTGATTCCTTTATCCACTTATTCTTCAAAAAATATTAATATACACTTCAACCAAGTGCCAAATACGGTATTCAACATTGATGATACCAAGATCCACCAGAGACACTAAAACTGCCAGGAAGAAATTAAGTAGGACGGCTATGAACACACATTGACACAAAATACTCTAGGAGTCTTAAGGCTTATCTTCAGGGTTGTTTGGAGAATCAAGGAAGGCTTCAAGAAAGAGGTGAGCAAAAGCAACTAACTAGTCACAATGGGGGCTTAGGAGAGGAGCAGACGTGGGTTCATGTCCCTGTTGTAAGGTAAGAAAACTCTTAAGCAAGCCTCTGTACCTCTCTGAGCCCTGGTTTGCTTGTCCATAGACAGGGGATAGTAGCAATATCTGCCTTATGAGATTGTTGTGAAGACGAAATGAGAATGGCCTCAACGCTGTGGAAAGGCTTCAACACTGTGCCTGGCACAAAGCAGGCACTCGGGAAGTACGCACTAGAAAGGTGGAATAACGGTGACAGTTTAGCTTAATCTCTAACATTTATTCAACAAATAGTTTTTGGGTACCTGGCACGTGTCATATTCTTGTGCTGAGTCCTGGGGAGGAGACCAACTGTGAGTATCAAGAGGGATAGAGTGACAGGCAGCTCATGCAAAGGCATGGGGGTCGTCTGTCCTATGTTTGGGGAGCCTGGGGTGGCCTCTTGCTGCTGGAATTCAGAACACCAGGGGAGGCCGGGTAGAGGCAGAGGCAGCAAAGCATCGTCCTGCCACACTAGGAAGGACCTTCTGTGGCAGTAATGGCCTTTAAGCAGTCAGGAAAGAGACAGTGAGTCAGTGCATCCGTGGCTTCTGTTTCCTCTAACTTTTCCGTGGGTGTGTATTGCCTTTTGGTAGTGGGCTAGCGAGGCCATGTTCTCTTCAGGAACAAAGGCTGCCAACTTTTTGTGGTCACCACCCTCCCCACATTGCCTATTATAATCGGGTGCTTCTGGTTGATACTCAGTAAATATGCTTAAGTTTTTATACTTCTCTACATTCTGAAATATACCAGCAGCTTCTCATACCCAATTTCAGAATGCTCACATGAAAATACTTCCTTTTGTGCTTGTTGGAGAGAGTCATGATTTAACAACTTTGATCATGTCACTGCTTAAAACTCTCCATATTGCTCTTATAATAAGTCTACAATTTTGAACATGTCCTACAAGATTTTGGATAATCTGGCTCTTGTCCTTGGCTCCTGCTTCATCTCTTAAAACTCCTCCCTTCTCCCCTTCCCTCAGCATGATTCCACATCACTGGTTTTTTCCTCTTTATTTCAACCCTACAAATACCATTATACATGCTGCTGCCTCTCCTTGAAAGGCCTCCTAATGCCCTCTCCAGACTGCCTCTTCCTCATTATTCAGGGTCCAACTTAAAAGTCATTTGCTCAGGAAAGACCTCTCTCATGTCCTAGGTTAGAAACCCTAATTATACATGCTCATAACTATAGTTTTCTTTTATTCTGCTTTTCATAATGGAAATGAATAGTCTCTTTGGACATAAGCCTTATTTATTCAACAACATTCTTTGAGCTCTTAATGTGGCCTAAATGTTGGGTATACCACACAGGAAGACAGTCAAAGTGCCTGCTTCACAGACCTATTTTAGTAAGTGATGCAATGAACAAAAAACAAATACAGATATGGTATGATGTCAGGTAGTGATAAATACTTTGGAGAAAAGTCAAGCTGAGTAAGAGCACAGAAAAGACAGAAGATGAGTGGAGGATGCTAAGAGAGAAGATTGTTCTGGGTAGAATTCCCATTACCTAGCATGGTGCCCTGTATCTAGAAAGTGCCTGAAAAATATTTGCTGAATGAGAATCACATTGGTGCGAGTAGACCTGAAGGAGTAAAAGCGCTGTGAATAGGGCTAAATGGGTTATATAATTGTGCTTCTTTCTCCCCAAATTCCTTAACTGCATCTGGGAAAATGTAATCTGTACATTCAGTCTGTATCCAATGTGAATTATCCACCTCGATTCTCTGTTAAAGTTGATTACATTCACACCTGTCCAGTGGTAATATTGCATATTTTCCTAATTGCCATGAGCGAAATCACAACTGGTTGGTGAATGAAGTATTTATGCTTTGAAGAATTGGTGTTCTAATTCCTTTCTATTTATACCGATGATCAATTATTTCTCAGTGAGGAGGAGGCGAATTTTTTCTGTGATCTACGTGCTTCTAAATGACTAATGAAGTCAATCTGGGCCTGGCAGATTTTGCCACCACTTGGACAGACGTAGCACTCGTGGACGTTGTGTTACTTCTCAGCTTGCTGGTTCCCTGTTCCCTTTACAATGATCTCATTATTGGCATTTTGTTTTCAAAGTGTTATCGTTCCCACTTTGCATTATGCCTCTGTGTGGAGTGGTCTTTTTTTTGAGATGGAGTCTCGCTCTTTCACCCAGGCTGGAGTGCAGTGGTGTGGTCTCGGCTCGCTGCAACCTCCGCCTGCCAGGTTCAAGTGATTCTCCTGCCTCAGCCTCCTGAGTAACTTGAGGTACTGCCTGCTACTGCTCTTTCAACCAAGTTTATATTCTTCAAGAAAATTCTGAAGATTGAATGTCCTTGATAAGCAAATTTATTTTGTTTTAATTTTGGTGAAATTGGGAGAGGGGGACTTAGGCTTTCATGAACATCTTCTTTAGTTAAATAAAAAACTGGATTTGAGGCCAATCTGAATGGGTATCAAGCCAAACAGATTTTATTTTCCAGACTTTGTTAAAAAACTGAACAGCATGAGGGAAACAAGGGACAAGAATGTTTCCTTTCCTCTTCTCTGGACTCCAGCACCGCACTACATGCGGTTACCTGGTCCTGCTCCTTCCGTGAGAGCGTCTCTTTCCCTAGCCCAGAGCCCTTTTCTGGTTCGGCACTTCTATAGCCATCAGTCCATTGCTCTGTTGTATCAGTCTTTGGACAAAAAAATGCCAGTCACGTCCATACTCTTAAGTTCATTTTTGCTCTTATTTACGCTCTTTGGGGCTGTCCCGCCTCTCTCTCTGTGAATCTCTTTATCTCTAAGACCAGATCTCAAATTCAGCTTCCCAACAGAAAATCATGTATTTTGTATCTGCCATTAACCAGCTTTCTTAGCCACCCCATGCCTTTGTAATGTGGCTGCTTATGGGATTGGTTAAGAAAAATACTGAAGAGAAATGGAATCCTTCTCCATCTCCATATTGTTTCTTTTAATGTTAACAGCTTTGTAAATATATATAGAACTCATATACACCATGGAATGCTATGCAGCCATAAAAAACGATGAGTTCGTGTCCTTTGTAGGGACATGGATGAATCTGGAAACCATCATTCTCAACAAACTGACACAAGAGCAGAAACTCAAACATTGCATGTTCTCACTCACAGGCAGGTGTCAAACAATGAGAACACATGGACCCAGGGAGGGGAGCATCACACGCTGGGGTCTGTTGAGGGGGAATGGGGAGGGACAGTTGGGGGTAGGGAGGTTGGGGAGGGATAACATGGGGATAAATGCCAGATATAGGTGACAGGGGGATGGAGGCATCGAACCACATTGCCATGTATGTACCTATGCAACAATCCTGCTTGTTCTGCACATGTACCCCAGAATCTAAAGTGCAATAAAAATATAAATATATATCTTATAAACTGCTCCTCCTTTCCTCAAAGTATAAGCCCTATAAAATCTGCAAAATGTATGTGTTTTGTTGACCAAAATATGCTTCATGCTGCCCAGAGTAAACATCCTGAATGAATCTCTGTGGGATATAGGAGTGAATGGAGAGGAGGAGGAACTTATTTGGGGGCAGATTTTCACTCACCGTAAAGAAGTAAAATGAAAGCAAACTTTGGTGGGTTTTGTCTAACTGTGGGCGAATTGGTATGGACTGAGAAATTCAATTAACTGTATTCATCAATTTTTGTCTTTGGGGTAGAGGCAGGACACTAAGACCCAGAATTCTTGGTCCCACCTCACTTGTGGCATTAAAAAAAGAAAGCTCAAACTTGGCATATTACACCAACCAGATTTTTTTCTTTGTCTCAAAAAGGCTCAGCTGAACACTAGATTCTTCACCCAGTGCAACAATCAAAAACTTAGAAAACCTCAGCTGCCTCAGATGATGTCACAAAACCTTTAAGAATGCTCACTGCTGAGTTGGGCACAGGTCCAGCAAACACAATTCTTTCTGCCAGTTATTCAGGGTCTTTGACAGATTAGGTGGTCTTTTTTATTCTTCTTCATCTTCTTTTTTTTTCCATTCTCTTAAAAGGCAGTTCAGTTTACCTCTAAGCAAGACATTAGCTCTGGCTACCCCAAATAACATTTTAATTGAAGTCTCAGTCCAAACAAATGCCTGGCCTCTTTATTAACCCCAACAGTGTAATTTTTCAACCTAAGGCGGATTCAGGGGGAAACTGTCTCACTTAAACTGCCATGCAATGGAACATGGCAGTTTTCCTCAATCAGTCTCTTTTCTGACCTTAATTTGAACCTTAATCTCTTTTAACCATGTTCCCTTTATTAGCTGCTCATAGCCGTGGCACAATACTAATTTTCCTGTTTTTAGACTATCACTTTACAGAGGTATTTCACTCCTCCTTCTCCTGCCAAATGTAATCGTTAAGGTTTCATGAACCTTTTTGGGAGAGAAAAGTTAATACTTATTCTTACTTTTTTTGTTGTTCTTTTTGGTTTAGTAATTAAAATAGCTGTTTTGCAAAATGTTCTGTAGAATTTTAGATGGTTTATTCCTGAGGTACGTAAGATTTATGTACCAAAACCCCTATATACTTAATTGTAATAAAAACCTAAAGAATAATTTAAAATGATTACAAAGGATTTTTTTTTAATCAATAGACAGACCCACACCTATAAAATAAAGTAGAAAACTAAGGGCATTATATGAATAATTCAGACAAAAATAATATATTTTCATTAGAAACCTCTAATCTGTTAGGAAAGAACTGAATTATTCAAAGAATTGTCTCAATTCATTTTTTAAAAATTATCCTTAAATATAATCTGAGTAATGATAGGAAAAAATAATTTTTTTTCTTAATTATACCTTCCGATTTTTTGACATTGGTCAAATGATCCAAAGTGAAAAGAAAAAAAAGCACTTTTTTCAATAACAATGAAAAAAAGTGTTTCTTTATTTGGAGTCTACCTTAACACAGCAAAACTATGTAGGTAGAAAAACAGTGCTTATGATCATGTGCTCAATTAAATTTATTATAGGTTTTTGTATTTTTTAACATTAGCATGAAAGCATATTCGTTATTATTCTTTATAATCTAATTGGGGGCTTTGTATGTAGTTACCCCTCTGTTCTCTGCATAATACAATAGTTTGTTGATTGCAGAAATTACATTTCTGTGACTTTAAAGTCCTAGAACTAGGATTGTCATTGAAAGTTGGAGATTCAGCTCGGGGTTTGGGAGCAGGGATGATGTGCCCCCTCTGTGTGAGTAGGTAGGCAGCTGGGAACAATTGTCTGTTCCCTGCGGTGTTCAGTGGCATTAGCAGCATGTTGGCACGATAAACTTTGCCTTCCTTTCACTGGCTCAAACAATTAGTGGGATTGAATCAGAGTTCTCCTGGATCATAGTTTATTACATGTTATTAAATTCCATTATTCAAGAAGTTGCTGCTATGATGATAAAAACTTCTCAGCATCTCCCACAAAATCCTCATCTTCCTTTCCCATGTATTTTCTTTTCAGTTTATCATTTGCTTCTCTGATAGACAAGGTTTCTTTTTATTTCCTGTTGGTACTTATTTAAAGAGTTAAGAGCTAATTTGAAAATACATCTTTGAAAGGACAACAAAAATGAGATGTGAAAAAATGGATGAAGATTCTTAATTAGTCCATTATTTGACACGCACGATTTAACATGGTATGCTTAGCATTGTGCATTCCCCAAAAGAACAAGGCTCTTTTTTTATCCCAAACTTTAACTCCCTCTCATTCATTATATCCCTTCTTGTCACTTTCCATTAGCTGATCATGACATCCTTTGCTGGAAGGGCGAGCAAGCAGATTACTTCCAAACTGGTGTAAGTGACACTCAAAAGACTGGCCTAAAGGGGCCTCTGTGATAGCAGCAAGCTCCTCGGGCCCTGGAGTTGGAGAATGTCACTTCAATAATATATTGGAGTCCATTGTCACATCATTTCTGCAGCAACTTGGCAACTGTCCAGGAGTGGCAGGAATGGGTCTTCTGCTGCAACTGATGGGTGATAGTATCTAATGTTCTTACTGCTGCTGATAATAATAATAACAACAACAATTTATAGTGCCAATCCAATCCTCCCAGCATCTTATATTTTACAGATGAGGAAACTGAGGACCAAAGAGGTTAAATAAATTGTCCGTGGTCACAAAGCTGATAAGTGATGGAGCTAAGGGTTTAAGTGAGGTCCGGTGGATTCCATGCTCATGTCTGTTTCTATTAGAGCAGCATACTGACTTCTGGAAGACTTCAACACATCTCCCTAAATCTGAAAGGGAAAGAAATGATCAAAAGAGTAGTCGTTTTGATGCCAGTGTCACCAGGCACTTCTAAATGTGGCAGAGGATGATGGAATGAGCCAGCCAGGGTCAAATACCCATAGATGGATTGTGCTGACTAAGAAAAGAAGTAGAGAATCTGATGCTCTGATCAGATCACCCTGGCGAAATAAACTGTTCCCCATCGTGGCTCCCCACAACCCCTCCTGTACACCCAAAGATCTGACCTGAGGAACAGATCCTCGGCCTTGCAATGGGATTTACCTGGAAAGAGACAGCAGCAGACTCTGATCTGAACAGCACCAGGACTAATCCTAGGTACCATTCAGATCCTGACACCAACCTCTGGCCTTGTATAGTTTTCTGCTCCTGAAAAAAACAAGTTTTCTTCATTCATCAAGTTTTAGTTTCTTTTTTCCATTAGGCAGGTTTTAATTTCTTATCCCAGTAAACTTTGAGAAGTTCTGATTATAAAACAGAGAATATGGAAATACAGATTAATATATTGGATAAAATAAAAGTCACCTGTTAAAAAGAATAAATAGAGAAAACAGCCTATGGTGTATATGTCTCTAGTCTGGGCTATACATACATATGCTGGGCGGTAAAATGTGGTGGTTATAGAGATAGACTCTGAAATCACACGTCTGTATTTAAACCTGAACACCTCCTCTAGCAGTGTGACCTAACCTCTCTGGCCTCCAGTTTTCTCACATGCACAATACTTTTCTCCTATAATTGTTGTGACAGTTAATGATCTAATGAATGTAAAGTGACTAGGCCATGGGAATGCTTTATTGTATTTTAGCTGCTGTTCCTTGTGTCGTGGTCCAGTGTTCTTTTGTTGTTCCTGGTTTCTGACTGTGCCCCAGCCTCCTTGATTCCAAGACCATGGATAACTTCATCCTCAGGAGTGATTCAGCTCCTGCTCTGTGCATTTGGTTTGATCAGCCTCCTCCTGACACTGCATCAGTGACTTTTCAGGTCTCAATTCCTGCCCATGTAACCAAAACTCTTAACGAAGCATTGACAGCATCTTATTTTTGCTTCTGTCTGCTGAACATATTTCCACCTGGATGCCCCACTTACCGAGCTTGGCACCAAGGCAAAACCTAAGCAGCCCTTCTTCTTCTCATCTGTCTTGAACTTCTTGAGGTTAGTGCAGAGGGAGGCAAGATCAGGAGTTTGGGATCACAGAGACACCAACAGCATCAACCCACAATCTTGGGCCTCTGGAATGTCAGTGACAAACCAGGTTTCAAGTATATATATAGGCAATACAAAGGCAAGTTTATTTGTTTAAACTGTTTTAAACATGAAAAAGAAGGTAATTATGAAGGGTGTTTCTTTATTATCTTCTTTAAAAATCCTCTGTTGGTAAGCCCATCTCTCAGAGACCTTTTCACCATGTAGTAAAAAAATCTGCCTATCTATCTATCTATCTATCCATCCATCTATCTAATTTTTTAAAACGGGGAACTATGTGTGATGGGTGAGTGGATGTCAGCAAGAGAAATAGGGGGGAGGGTGAGTTACATTTAATGAAGCTGGAAGTTCACATGGACCTTTCAGACTTAAAAAAAAATGTTGATTTTACATGCCAAAGTCTTGAAAGGGGCTTGACGGCTCACGGCTTTAGTGTGTTTTTCCAGATGGCAGATGCCATTTTGTGTTTTGCATAAACTGACTAAATTTGCTTGCTCTTTGTATTTATTTTAGAGAGAACCATTCTCTGCTTTCAATAGGACAGAAGAGCTCCTTGGCACTGGACGCCTCCGGGTCTGGTGAGAGAGGAATGGTTAGGAGACTGTTCTGAGGATACGCAGACATCATCCAAAACTTCCTACATTCAGATGAAGAAGAGGTTGGGCCAGAGCTTTGCATGCTTGTTACCTAAGGACGGTTCTGACCATGTGAGCAGATCACAGAAGGTAAGCCATGCTCAAGAACTTGCAATAGTTACATTTCCAGTTTGCCATGTTTATCTCCATGGGTAACAAATAGTTCATGATGCTCATTACTTTACATCCTGTTAATGGCTAGTTGTGTGATCCTGTAATTTAATGTCTTTGTACCTCAGTTTTATCTGAAAAAAAAAAAAAAAAAAAAAAAAGATAATAACGTTTGTCTCTTAGGGTCATTGTGAGGATTCCTTGAGTTAGTCCAGGCAAAGGATTTAGAACAGTGCCTGGTGTATAGTAAATTCTTAAGAAATGTTGGTAATTATCATTGTTATGATTCATTTCCACCAGAATTTGAATTTTTTGTCTTATTTTCTGCTGATTGACATTCTCCAACTCCCATCATCATTACGCAAACTCTTTGGGTCATTTTTATGCAAATAGATTGGTAATAGAGTGGTTAAGTTACAGACTTTCTAGTGAAATAAAGTAGAAGTTTTCAAAGTAATATTTAAGAACTGCATCTCCTTGACTTTCTCTGAGCCTCGGTTTCTTCATCTATAAAATAAGGATGATAATAATAGTTGCCTCATAACACTTTAAGAGGATTGAATGGGACAATAGTTGCACAATGTCTGGCAAGCATATAAAGACTGTAAAGAATATTGTGTATTCTATAATCTTTGCTGCCCAAAATATACAAAACAGCACTCTCAAAAATCCTTCTAGAAGCTTGTCAAGGTTCCAGGGCTCTAATGTCATGTCAATATTCCATCAGAAAAGAGGAAAAAGTCCACAGAAATCGAAAGGTGCTGTATACTGTGACTTTACTAGGACCCTTTGCCAAATAATGATGTAGAATTGAGAGGGCTGAGTCTTGCTCAACACAGATTTTAATTCAGTTAGAAAACTCAAATTTCTTTTTAAAAATTGAAGTTGTATATTTTTAAGATACACAGTGTGAGGTTTTGATACACATACACATAGTGAGTTGATTTTAAAATCAAGCTAATTAATATATCCATTATAATATATAAGGTCTTCACATAGTTACTTTTTTGTGTATGGTGAGAACACTTAAGATCTATTCTCTTAGCAAATTTCAAATTTCAAATATACAACACAGTGTTATAAACTACAGTCCCCATGTTATACATTAGGTCTCTAGAACTTGTTCATCCTGCATAACTGAAACTTTGTATCTTTTGACCAATGTGTCTCCATTTCCCTTACTCCTTTGCCAACCACTACTGTACTCTCTGCCTCTGTGAATTCAACTCTTAGATTCCCCATATAAGTGAGATCATCTAGTATTTTTCTTTCTGTGCTTGGCTTATTTCATTTAACATAATGTCCTCCAAGTTTATCTATGTTGTCACAAAGGACAGGACTTCCTTCCCCTTAAAGGCTAAATAGTATTCCAATATATACACATATATATACATACATATATATGCATATATATCCATACATATATATTGTATGCATAGATATACATATTTGTGTATATCTACACAAACTGTGTGCATAGATACACATACGTGTGTATGTGTATATGTATATGTATATATCACACAGTTTATTTATCTGTCTATAGGCAATTAGGTTTTTTTCTATGTCATAGTTATTGTGAATAATGCTGTAATTAACATGGGAGTGTCGATATTTCTTTGAGATGCTGATTTCATTTTCTTGGATATATGTCAGCAGAGGAATTGCTGGATTATATTGAAAGTCTATTTTTAATTTTTTAAAGAACCTCAGTTTTGGAAAACTCAAATTTCTGAGCAGACTGATCCTGGACTCACACTGGGAATCATTTGAAAGGGAGGATCTAAAGCCTTATTTTTCTTCATAAACCAAAAAATAAGGAATAGAGTGAGGTAGCTTGTAGGGAAAAAATAGTTTATTGTGCTGGTTACTTCTCTTATGGGGGAATGTGCATTTGCATATGATAAAATATTCAAATCTCACATTTAAAAAAAATGTGCATTTCTTTCTCAAACTAAAAATGGGTAGGAGTTACACCTGTAAATGAAAGAGAACTGTCTAAATATTATAATTGTGTTATTAAAGAGTTGAAAATGATTTCAATCACATTTGCCATTCTCATCCAGCAGTAATGAGTGGTCTTTATTAATAATTGAAAAAAGAAAATAACCAGCCGGGTGCAATGGCTCATGCCTGTAAATCCCAGCACTTTGGGAAGCCGAGGCGGGTGGATCACCTGAGGTCAGGAGTTCGAGACCAGCCTTACCAACATGGAGAAACCCCTTCTCTACTAAAACTACAAAAAAATTAGCTGGGCATCGTGGCACATGCCTGTGATCCCAGCTATTGAGGAGGCTAAGGCAGAAGAATCGCTTGAACCTGGGAGGCGGAGGTTGCGGTGAGCCGAGATTGCGTCATTGTACTCCAGTGTGGGGAACAAGAGCAAAACTCTTGTCTCAAAAAGAAAAAAGAAAAAAAGAGAAAATAACCCAACATTGGAAACTTTTACCCCAAAGCCAGCATGAAACCTGAAAAACTGAAGAACATGGATCAAGAAAGCATAAAAAACATTGTCTTGCAAATATCTTATTTGCCGTATAGATTTATTTTGACGTCTCCCTTCCAATGCCTATCACTCCTAACAGTCAGAATCAGTTGGTATTTAAGTTGCAGGAAAAAATGCTAAAGTCACTTCCTCTCAAAAGATGACAGCCCCATCTTTTTCTCTTGACCTTATGCTTAGAAATTACTCAGAGTAGGCTGGGCGCAGTGGCTCACGCCAGTAATTCCAGCACTTTGAGAGGCTGAGGCAGGCAGATCACAAGGTCAGGAGTTTGAGATCAGCCTGACCAACAAACTAAAACCCCATCTGTACTAAAAATACAAAAATTAGCTGGGCATGTTGGTGCATGCCTGTAGTCCCAGCTACTTGGGGGGTTGAGGCAGGAGAATCGCTTGCACCCAGGAGGCAGAGGTTGCAGTGAGCCGAGATCACACCACTGCACTCCAGCTTGGGTGACAGAGTGAGACTTTGTCTCAAATAAAAGAAAAGAAATTACTCAGAGTAGAGAGTAGGATGCTACGATTAATTATTATTAGCAGTGAAATAAAAGAGGAAAGCAAGATCAAACAAGAGATAAGAGGGAAAGTGCATGTCAAAAAAAAAAAAGGAAAAGAAGTTGGAAAGAACAGGAGGAAGCAATATTATTAAAGTGGGGAAAATAAACTACATAGCAGCAAAAAAGAAACAAAAAGAAAATTTGAGAGTCCAGTGCAGAGGTGGCTAGCTGACCAGTGATTTATCTTCTTTCCCTTCCACAGTGTAGAGCTCCTTCTAGGAAGCAATTGCTCAGCCAGAGAGACAATCTCTCTCTCTCTCTTTCTCTCTGTCTGTCTGTCTGTCTCTCTCTCTCTCTCTTCTGGCTGGATAATGCCAGGATAGCCCTGATACCAGAAGATGTAGTACCATAACATGAAAGAAATCTAGATCTCTGAATCCCTTCTCAGAGGAATAGCCACATTAGACTTTTTGTGAGTGAGAAATAAGCTTTTAGATGTTAAGCCATTGCACTTTTGGGGATTGTTTGTTATGGCAGTGAGCATTGTATACCCTGACTAATACAGAAGTTGATATCAAAAGGGAGCTCTAGAAATAGTTGCTTGTTCTTTTTAGCTTTGCTCAAAAACCAGTTGATTATTTCCTGAGAGCCTCTTATTGTTTTACTGTGTTTCCAAAAGCAGCCAATAGCAACCAACACATGTTATTTTTCACCTACAAGCTCAAGAGTCATGTGGTCTGACTTTCAGGTTACCAAAGGCAATAATATTGCCAAGTGTTTTTCCACTCCGTGATATGGATCTCCAGTCATCCAGTCTGTTATATCTGTTTCTAGCAAGCACTACTTGACTATGAAGTCTATGCCACATATTTTAGAATTTTGTTACAGGACACAGCATTTACTATCAAATATAATCAACAGATTTAATTAAAAAAATAGAAACCTGATAAAATGCAATGTGTTCATCATACCATTTCCTCCCTCTGGGCACAGAGGAAGGCCATAGTCTCACCCTTCCTTACAATTTAACTGGGGCCTTGAGATCAATTTTTTTTTTGGTAATGGAATGTAAGCTGAAATACTATGTCACCTTTATTCTCAGAGTGAAGTGGGTTTATGTGCTTTCTCTATGTACTGTCTTCCTCTTGCACAGAGATCTTAGGTACAAGATGGAAGCCACTTTGTTCTATGTCCTGAACAAAGAATAACCTTATCTTATTATATTATTCAGAGTTGGGGGGTTATTTATTACTGAAATATATCTATCCCATTCTGACAACTATTCTGTAAGTATTTTATTCCATTAGGAAGGAATGCAATATGTAGAATTAGAGGTTTTATGGAATCATTGGAAGGGCTGGGGAATGAAGGTCAACTTCCTAGAAATCTGAAGTGTTGGAATCCCTGGGAAGCCAGATTGCCACCAGTGGTCTTAGCTGCCTGCAGTACTGGAGTGGGTGATTCTCAGAAGGATGCTCAGAAGCTGACACATAGCCCCATGTCTGCCATCTGCCAATGCATGCAAACCCTCCTGTAGCTACTGAAAAATGTCTTTTTCTCTTCCATTTTCTAGTGATTGCAAGAGTACCTCTTAATGTAAGATTATACCAAGAACTTTATGGACAAGAGAGCCTGGGAAATGTAGTTTCCAGGCTTTCAGTCCTTGTGGTATGGGAGGAGTTTGGGGCAGTGATGGTACTTACTGAGTCTCAGTGAAAAAATGTCTGGCATGCATGGCTCTTATCCGTCTTTTGGGAAATTCAGGTGTCACACTTCCATAGCCCATCACTCTGGAAAGCTCCTTGAGGACAGACTTTACAATTCCCCATCTCTATTGCCAGACAATACCAGTCAATAGATTGTTTTGAATTGATATGAATAAAATGGCAACAGATTGAGTAGGAAATAAGAAAGACTTTTCCATGTGTTGAAGCTAGATTTCAAGAACTTTGTCGGTCATATCTGATAATTGTCCTAGCCTCTGTCCTAGCTTAAGCCATTTTGCTCCCTAGCCTGCTCAGAGTGACCATGAAGGGCTGCTTGCCCAACAAGTGACCTTGAGCTTGCTCTGGATCCTGTTTGTAGAGTCAAATAAAATAAGATTTGATGAATGTTGGTTATTAGGTCCACAGAGACCGTCCAATTGTGTATTTTTTGAAAACTACATCAAGTTGATTGTGTAGTTAGTCAAAACATTTCTACATTTTATTCCATATGTCATCTGCCAATGCCTGCAAACCTGCCTGTAGCTACTGAAAAATTTATTTTCCTCTTCCATCTTCCAGTGATTGCAAGAGCACCTCTTCTGAACATGATCTTTGTGCTCTGACAAAATTGGAATCTCTTTGGGAATGGGGGTTTGTGAATTCGTGTTGGGGCAGGGTGAAAAGCATTCTGTAATTGAGAAGAAGGTAGGGTGAGTTTGTGCACTAAGGACCTGTTCTGTCATAAGAAATGGATACTCAGAAAAGAGAAGATGAGACCCTGGTGTGGTTTCATCTGAAAAGGCACAAAGTTAAAACTCCAACGAAGATTAAATACATCCTCTTGATATTTATTTGCCTCACACACACACACAAACAGAAAAACTATTGTACCTGTGATAAGAATGATGGTAAAGTGAAATGAATTACATCAGCTTCCCGAGTAGCTGGGACTATAGGCATGCACCACCATGTCTAGCTAATTTTTGTATTTTTAGTAGAGACAGAGTTTCACATGTTGGCCAGGATAGTCTTGATCTCTTGACGTTGTGATCTGCTCGCCTTGGCCTTGCAAATTGCTGGGATTGCAGGTGTGAGCCACTGCACCTGGCCTTTGGATCTTCTTATTGTTATGAAATGGTGACCGTATCCAGCTGAAGAGCTCTGTGAGCATCATGGCACAATTATGGGGGGGGGGAATGTGATGAAGTAACAGCTGCTAGTGTCCAACATTTAGCCTCTCATTTCCATTCCCACCCACCCTGATCTCTGGCTATATTTAGTTGCTTTACACAATGTTACCTAAGCCAAAGTCTATTCTACAAAATTAAAGGAAGAGAGAGAATAGTGAGAGTCTTCATAGAAAGATCAGGCTCCTGAAAATCTGCTTTCCTTAGTTTCTCATGTTCCTTCTTGGTTAACATGTTTTCTCCTCCTTTGTACCTAGGATCATGGCTAAAACACAATCGTGAGTTTACTTTGTGAAAAAAGAAGTAGAACATTGAGCAAACATCTAGTGAATACAGTCAAGATGGTTAGTGAATTTGGAAAATTCCACTCGCAAAAAAATTACTTTCTCTATTCTGTAGCAGATTTCCTCTTGGCCTTAATTATCCACAGAGTTTTCCAATTTTTCTGATAGTCTTTACTGTTGCTGACATCACCTAAATAATTTATGTAATGGATTTAACTGGGTTCATTTGGGAACCCTTCATTCTAAGTGGCTTTCTTTTTATCAATCTATTTACTTATTCAGTAAGCATTGAACACTGTTTCAGCTATCTATTGCTGTGTAATAAGCTACCCTAAAGCTAGTGACTACTTAATGAAACAATTTATTATTATCACTCACCATTCTTGGGACTGATGGGCTCCAGTGGGCAGTTCTTGCTTGGAGTCTCTCATTTGGTTGTAGTCAGATTGTAGCTCAGATCGGAGCCATCTAAACGTTTCTTCACTCATGTGTCTGGCATTGGGCTAGTCAGAAATCTCTCTCTCCACATGGTTAGCAAAGCTTTTCAGTCTCTTGGCAATCAGGCTTCTTCTCTTGTGGCAGCCTTCCTCAAAGCAAGTGTTCTAAGAAATCCAGTTGGAAGCTGCAAAAATTTTTAAACGTAGCCTTGCAAGTCACACAGAGCCCTTCTTCCCTCTTGTGTATGCCAAAGCAATCATGGGAGAACTCAGGATCCAGTAGTTGGACAAAGATTCCGTCTCACAAGAGGGGAATAGTTTGTGTATTCAAATAAGGAAAGAATTGATGTGTTCATCTTAATGAGAAGCTGCCACAAGCACCTACTGTGTGGCAGATGCTATGCTATGTGGTGGTACAACATGTTGACAAAATGGGCATAGTCCCATGTCCCTTGTGGACATTAAAATCCAGTTTGATTAGCTTTGACTCGACAGTTTTCCCAATCAACTGCTGAGCAGTACGTCTCAATATTAAGTCTATTTAGTTATGAAATGTGCAAAACATCTATTCTGGTAATTTGCGGTCTGGTCATTTTGACTTTTTCAGTAACTAAACTGAATGAAATTTGTGGGTATCTGATCCATAACTTGATGATCACCCTGATGAGCTGATTCATTCATGAATTCTTTTTTAATGCATTCTTTAAAACATCATCTGAGCAAAACTGGGGTGTTTATCTCTTGCTTCACAAGCATATTGAGTTCCTGCTGTGCACGGGGGCTGGAACTGAATTCCTTGACTTACAATAGGGACTATGCAAGAAATGGAAAAGTCAGATTTTGCCCCAATGAGCTTTCGTTCTTGTTAGCAGCTTGGGTGGTATGCAAGTGGAGCAACTTGTGACAATGACAAAAAAAAAAAGGTGAACCCAGACCATGCATGATAAACTAGACAGGTGGTATTAGTTTCCCTCCTGAGAATTATCTTTTGAAGAAAAGTGATTGATTATTTGCCTCCATTTTCTTCTCTCTTGTGTTATGAACACAAAGTGATCTAGGTTTGTTAAGTAAAAGGAGATTTCAGGACAGGAATGTTGACAGAAGAATTGGTGGTGTTCAGCAAATCTCAGGTCTTATCGTTTCTGGCATAGTTTATGTCCCTTCAGTGGTACAGCTATGAGGGGCTGGGGGAGGAGGCTCATGATGACACAAGAGATACCTTGACATTTCAGAAACAAAGGTCAAAGCTTGAACAGGTCCAAGAGCATGCAGAATTCTTGTGCACACATGTCAAGGTCCCCGACATGAGGTTAGTACTACGTTGTGCCTTCTTATGTTGTATCTTTATATCTGTTGTCCTACATAGCATACAAGGACATTACACGATATTTCAAGTAAAACAGCAACAACAATATGAATGTTGCCTTACCTACCTGGATGTTTCAAGCAAAACTAAAATTTGGCTTGTCATACCAGTTGTCATTTATCAATCTATTAACTTTAATTTCATAGCTCATACTTTATTCATGTGGGTCCTTTTCTCATGTTAGTGAGACCTGTGTCCCCAGGGTGTAATTTGCTAAATTAAACTGCTTTCCATTTATCATGCCAATTTATTTTTCTGAAGTGCTTGCCCCCATTTTTCTCTGGCAATTTATAATAATCAGATTTTAATTGTATCCCACTCCTCTTTCTGCCAGCACATACTTCTTTGGTATATTTTATGTTATATTATTTTATGCCTGCTGGTATATCACTTTGTAATTTTTTGTGGGCACATGATTTGCCCAACTGGATGGTAAACTGAATGGCAGGAGCTTCTCTATACAGACGGATTTACATGTATGTGTTTACATATGTATGTGTATGTGTAGTATATGTACCCATACATACATACACAGGAGATACTTCTCAACAGCTGATCAGCTCTTTCCACTCTCCACTTAATTTTCTCTTTTTTTTGAGACAGAGCTTTGCTCTTATTGCCCAGGCTGGAGCACAGTGGTATGATCTGGGCTTGCCATAACCTCCACCTCCCGGGTTCAAGCGATTTTCCTGTCTCAACCTCCCAAGTAGCTGGGATTATAGGCATGTGTCACCACGCCTAGCTAATTTTGTATTTTTAGTAGAGACGGGGTTTCTCCTTGTTGGTCAGGCTGGTCTTGAACTCCCAACTTCAGGCGATCTGCCTATTTCGGCTTCCCAAAGTGCTGGGAATGCAGGCGTAAGCCACTGTGCCCAGCCCTCTTTTTGTTTTTATAAGTTAGAGTCAAATAGACTATTTTGCCGCTTACCTGGTGAATTGGATCAATGCATATGTTTGATGGATTATTCAGACATTTAAAAAACTCTTCAACTTCGTGTTTACTAAGATGAAAATAATCTAGAATATTGCTCATCTTTTCCTCTGGCAAAATTATTTTCATAACTTCATAAAAAATGTAAGTACTTGAGCTATGTAAGCACTTGTGATTGATTATTTGGGGCAAAAATGATTTTTTTAATTGAATTAATGATAGTCTTAAATTCCTCAACTTGAAGCTACAAAGCCTCTGAATTTCCATATTGACCTTGTGAGAGTTTATCCAGGCTTGTTTTTATTGGCGGTGAGGGAGCCACACTGGGTATCTTGAAAGACTTAAATCCTTTTATAATATCTATCAGTATCCCTCTCCACTTCTGACTTCTTAAATGAATACAAATTTAAGTAGAAACTTGGAGTTGATCTCAGGAAAATTTCCTACCCAACAAGTTAACCTTACTGTCTCCTTTTCTAACCAATTTGCTGCTCTCAAAACCTTTTTATTTACTAAGTTTGCTGCTGCCACTGTATATGCAGGTTTGTATATTGGGGAGGAGCTCCCCGGCTTGTTTGAGATCAGGGCCACCAGAAAACATTTTGAGTCCTCCAAATATCGTGAATTGTTTTGGCATCCCTGACATTACATGAAAACAAAATAAAGTTTTCTTCTCATAACTAGACATATACTTAAAATGCAGATACTGCTGGAAGCCTCACTATAATGATGGGTCCTTATTCACAGAAGATAATAGTGACTGATAATAGATATATTTTCTTGAAAATAGATTTCGATCAGGCCAAAGTGGTGATTGAATTTGGGAGAATGACAGCTCATTGCATTTCTTAAAGCCGTGGGCTCAGATTTAGGGTATCCATACCTCATGAAGATTCCAAAATGATCCATTGGTGTGCAGAAAGAAGATATTGGAGTTCTATTTATTTCAATATTTTATTTCATCTTAAATTTAGATTTTTTTGGCGCATGTGTTTTTGTTGCATAGAATAGAGTAATACATATGTTATTTATAAATAAAAATACATAGAATGGACATGTTCATAAATTTTTACCATATGTGATCTAAAAATTTAGAAACCACTGCTTTCCAAAGGTGAATCGAACATGAATAAGGTCCTCGAACATGATGCGATGGGGAGGAACGGGAAATGATTACGGAACAAGTGTTTGTAATCTCGGAATTCTGACTCTGGTTACTACTAGTTCCAGTTATTTGATCAATAGGGAGTTCACTAACTCTTAATCTGACGCCAGGACAGTCCCTTTTAAGATGTGAAGAAATTGCTCAATGTTAGGATGTTGACTGAAGAAAGTAGATTTTAATCATGCTTTGTTTTTTCATTTTGTTTTCTCAAGGGTCCCATGGGAACAGAAAGTTTTGAGGGAGTTTACTGTTTGTGCAAGATGACTGGTTGGGTAAAGAAGTGCAAAGTTTTTTTATCTGCAGAACAAATAAAGCCTGGGCAAAGGTAACTGAAATGAACGTCTCCCACCTTGTCCCTTTTGCATGTCTAAGGTGATGTTTGTGCCGATGGTTGCGCAACGGAGAACCTAATCTATGCGTGTCAAATGGAGAGGAGGTGGATGTTAGAGTCCTCCTGATTAAAAAGAGTCAGTGACCTTCATTCTTCTTAGTTTGACAGGTAATTGTTTGATGACGATGCCTATATAAAAATCATTTAAAAAATGAAACTTCTATTTGTTGATGAATTATTCCTAAATGCCAAGGTATTATTTGTCAGACAACCTCTGGGTGGCTGAATTAGAGTTTTTCCTTCTCCAAAGATAGACACACACAGCTCTAAGGAGGTGTTAAAATAAATTTATGAATTTATGATTACTCTGGACATTTGTTGTTGCTGGTTAATGACAACAAGAACAACTGGATTGTCCTTATGATTATTCCACAGCAATTACTAAAAAAATTCTGAATAAAACAACATTCTGAAAATGTGAATCACAGTGTGGGGCTCAACTTGTGTTTTAAAAGATAATTTTCTTTTTTCTTTTTTTTTTTTTTTTTTTGAGATGGAGGCTCGCTCTGTAGCCCAGGCTGGAGTGCAGTGGCGCAATCTCGGCTCACCGTAACCGCCACCATCCGGGTCCTGGTTCAAGCAAGTCTCCTACCTCAGCCTCCCAAGTAGCTGGGATTACGGCACGAGCCACCACACCCAGCTAATTTTTGTATTTTTTAGTAGAGACAGGGTTTCACCATGTTGGCCAGTCTGGTCTTGAACTCCTGACCTTGTGATCCTCAGCCTCCCAAAGTGCTAGGATTACAGGTGTGAGTCACTGCACCCGGCCTGAAAGATAACTTTCTATGCATAAATATTGATGAGAGTGAGATATGACCGAATTGTTGAGGTTAAGCATTTATTATGGGGAAAAAAATTAAAATGCTTTGGAGCTCAGTGATCCACACTGACGAGATAGTTACTTAACCATTCTTTTCATTTTGACTCTTTGTTACTGTTGATTCTGTTGGAACTTAGGCTTATAAGGCCAGTTAAAGGGGCATCTTATAGGGGATAGTCATAAAGTATGATAACGAATGAGCTAGCAGCCAACTATGGATAGAAACTAGGTAAATTAGAAGGCTGATTTCTCATTCTTAAATTTGTTGCTATTGAGTTTTACAAACAACCCCTAAGACATTTATCATCCAATAATTTTTCCTCAAAGAAATATCTAAGAAAGGGTATAGACATTAAGAACAGAGTGGTGAAAGTGAGACCCTCTGCCTGTTTTGGATATTTGAAAAAATCCTAATTGGACTGAAATTGTAAGGTGGGAAATCCATAGGGAATTATCTTTGTGTATGTGAATATGTATGGATATATGTATAATATAGAACAGGCATCCCCAAGCCCTGGTCTGTGACCCGGTAGGAACAGGGCCACACGGCAGAAGGTGAGTGACAGGCCAGCAAGTGAAGCTTCATCTATGCTGACAGCCGCTCCCATCACTAGCATCTCCGCCTGAGCTCCACCTCTGATCAGATCATTGGTGGCATTAGATTCTCATGGGATCTCAAACTCTATCATAAACTGCGTATGTGAGGGATCTAAGTTGCACGCTCCTTATGAGAACCTAATGCCTGATGATCCATCACTGTTTCCCATCATCTCCAGATGGGACCATCTAGTTACAGGAAAACAAGCTCAGGGCTCCCACTGATTCTACATTATGGTGAGTTGTAGAATTATTTCATTATCTATTACAATGTAGTAATAAAGTGCATGTAAATGTAATGTGCTTGAATCATCCTGAAACCATCCCCAGTCCATGGAAAAATTGTCTTCCATGAAACCGGTCCCTGGTGCCAAACAGGTTGGGGATTGCTGGTATAGATAACAACTAAAACTAATGTCCAGATTATCTGAATAATCACAACATTTACTGGTATAATTGTTTAAAACTTAAAAGAAAACTGAAATTTTCCAGTATGGAAAAGACAAATTCCAGTTTCTAAGCTTAAGCCTGCCAAGACTCCGTGGCTTGGAATTTCATGTGTGACCAGCTATTTAAGTAGGAAAATTAATTGTAGTAAAAATTTAGGTAAATTATTTGGAAGCACTTCTACTACAGACTGTGAGACACTGAACCAACCTGTAAATGAGAGTGAACTCCTTCAAGGTCCGGGTAGATTATGATCTTTCTGAGATTACAAATTTGTAGTTTTTCCTGAAAAAAAAAAAAAGTTTAGAGTTTCCATCATGCTCTAGGATTCTACCAGCCACACATCCAGAGTTTGAAATGTTGTGTGTGTAAATAATCTTCTCTGCCTTAAAAGGAGCTACTTTCTGAGGAAGGTTGTTGGCTGTGGAGAGATGTAAGTGTTGAGAGACAGAGTGAACTGCATGAGAAGAAATGGTAGAAGAGTCTGTGATTCAAAAATGGGCTTTGAAACCTCTAGACCCTGTTAGTCAGTTAATAGTAGTAAAAAGCAATGGTTATATACCTGGAACCACTAAGTCACTTGAGTTAAGAAGATTACAGAACAGAAGAAAAAAAGAGAGAGAGAAAGAGAGGAGAGAGACAGAGCCATAGCATGCATGAGGTATGCAGCTGTCGGGCTGCATGCTCCAGCGCCTGGATTTCCAATCTGGCACTCAGCTTGATGAGTCTGTTTATTCAGCTCCAGTATCAGACGTTCCCTTTTCCTGCCTGAAGAAGTCCCCTTTGAAGAACAGCTCTGCTGGGGAGCAGTTTCCCCTTGGATGGGCTACTCCTGTTTGCAGTCCTAAAGGAAAAGAACTGGAAATGCCACAAGAATGTTCTTTAAAGTGATATTCCAGCGCCACGTGAGGGGAGGATGAAATAGCTGTAAAAGATGTATTTCCTGGTTGAGGTATTTTTTTCCCCTCTCAAGTGAATTTAGCGCTGAACAAAGGCGTCACATGAATGCAATTGGGGTCATATGTTCTTGGGTACCTCCAGATCTGTGAGGGCAGGTGGTGGCTGGGGTGGGAGAGTACTGGGCAGAGCAACAACACTTCAGTTTCTGTAGGCCTGGAGAGAGAGAGAGAGGGAGAGAGAGAGAGAACGCATGCCAGAGAGAGATACAGAGAATTCCAGTAACCTAGTCTTGCATGTCTTTATCTGTAAAGGAATCAGTCGTGATGACTTATCAGAGGACCAGTCTATACTTTCAAAGCAAAGCCACAATGAAACATTATCTAGAGAATTGAGGGACAATGTTCATAATCAAATTGGGTAATTCCAAGGTTGACAATTATACTTTGGGTTTGATATTAATTTCCTATATTTCAGGGACATGTTTTACTTTTTCAAAAAGGTTTTTCATCTTGTGAAGTAGCTCGAGTAGATGCTAATAACCTGAATTTTCCTCTTTGGGAAACGATGTGGCTAAATTAAGAGAGATGGTTATTGGTAGGGCAGAACAGCAATCCAGGCCTCTTGTCTCTTGGACCAGGTCTCCTTTCTCTGTGTTCTTGAGACCTGTACAAAGGGACAGTGGGAGTTTCAGAAAAAAGGAAGATGACATTCTCTGTCTCCTCCCAGGCATGTAGAAAGTTACTGTGACTTTGAAACCACAGCTTTGCTGTGCCCAAATGCTCTCTCGGGGACTAGTCTTAGGGAGAAGTTTCAAAGTGGAACCTTCAGAGAGTGAGTCTCATGTTCTCACTGTGGCTGCTCAGGCCTGTGGTTGGTTTGTTCAGTTTGCACCTAGGCCTCAGAAAACAGGAGTTCTCCAGAATGAAAAGAGTTCTTTGTTCAATATCAAAGATGAACCTTTTGAGTGAGAGAGATGCCACTTCATGATGAGGCCTGTTTTTCCAGGAGAGAAGATGGGATCCACACTCTATTCCTAATTCCTGGCTGAGACTTCTAGGACTCACATTGACTCTTGAGGCCTAGGAGTGAGGTTCATGCATAAGGGACCAGAAAGCACTGACAGTGTGAGCTTTATCCAGGAGTGAGAGTGAACCAGAATTTCCTTTGGGGCTAGGTTCTGGTTCAAGGGGGAAACTGGAAGAGATGTTACCCATTGGCTGCTTTTTCTGCTTTGACACACAGACCCTTATATTTTATCTATTTCTGGATATTTGTCGTCTCTCTACAAGTAAAGCCAGACTTGCTTGACATTTGAGCAATATCTTGCAGTTATTTGTATCCTCTAAGGCTTCCTAGTACTTAAACTCTCTGATGAATGAATAGGAATCCATTTTCAGCCAATCTCTTATCCCAGCGTCTCTCAGCCTATAGCGGGAACAGGCATCACCTGGGAAACAGGCATGTGTGCTTTGAAATGAAACTTGAGATGAATCTCATATGCACTGAAGTTTGAGAACTGCTGTTTTATCCTTTTCTCCCTTGGCTTTAAGAACTCATTGTGACTTTGCATAATACTATAAGCGCAAACAGAATCCCAGGTTCGTGTAATGTTTTATGACTTGGGAGGCTTATTTCACATGTTTGTCTAATTTAATCCTGATTTAATGGGGCTAATTTAATAACAGGCCTGTGATGTGAGTTCTTTTTCCACCATTGTACAGAGGCAGAGGCAGAGGCAGAGGAGTGATATTCTTTGGAACATGTCTGTGGCAGTATGTGCCAATGTGTGGGCAGAGCCCCTACTCATCCCACCTTCTGAGTCCGGGGATGGTGTTCTTTCCCTCACAACCCCTGTGGCTCTATAGCTCTTGCAGGCATAGCTGTTCTTTGTGTGAAGTGTTATTATTCCTGATAGTGCTTCCTGTCCACATAGCTGTGGCTACTTACCATGATACATATGTGAAGTCAGCAGAAGGTAACACAGTCTGTATTCCTAATGAACTGTATAGTAGGATAAGTGGATAAGACTATGAATAAGGTGTTCTTTTATGCAAATACTAGAGTACAACATTTTTGTTCCTTGTCAGATTGGAAATGCAGAACTGGGAAGTGGGGAGAGGTGAGAGTTCTTTCAGAGAAGGACAGCCCGTTTGGTGATGTGTGATTTAAATTGTACTCTCCTGACTTTTATTTCCCTCTTGTTGTACTGGGAATAATGGAGAAAGAATAGGAAGTGAGCTGAAACCCTTGAACTTGCTCTGTGACCTGGAGTCCCAGCAGGGTTAGCTCTGTTGAGGCTCACTGTTTTAGATGCCTGTGAGGTTCGTAGCTAGAGCCAAACAGGACTCCTGAGGAAGCAGTGTAGACCTGTGGAACGCTGCAAAGGTGGCTAGCTTATGTCCTCCCTTAATTCAAAAGATCAGAATGCTCCAACATTCACTTGATGCTCAAGGGAACATGTCGCCATGCTTTCAATGGCCATTTAATGGTTGCCAGAGTATTCTAAACAGAACTTTCCGGATGGCTGTTTATGCTTTTATTAATTGCAAAGTACAGACAGCCATCAGAAACTGAGACTTGTCAACTGAAAGAGAAGGTGGGCCTGAAACTTCTGCTGGTACCCAATTCTTTTCCACTTAGCTAGGAAAGGACCTCTTCTTTAATCATGGAGTAATAGATGATTGATATGACTGTACCCTGATTAGAAAAGGTTTCATTTTACTTGTGCATGGTACATGGAATTAGTTAAGGGTTGCATAGGAAAAGAAGTGATGGACTATTGTTCACGTTAAATTATAATGACAGCCTTCCTAACCACTGTATATTTATTATGTAAGAAAAGAAAATGTCTGGTAAAATTCTGTATAGGTTAATAACACCTTCATAATATACTCCTTCTTTTCTATTGACTTGAATAGCCCTCCTACTGACTTTTAATGGATTATTAGAGTTAATTACATCAATTGCAATATAATTGATTCTTAAATACTATGCAGAAACCTCATACAATTATGGAAAAGCAAAAGTTATCTAGACATCTCAAATCAAAAAAGATTTGGAATTCCTGCACATTTAATTTCTGATAATCACTAGTCAGTTTGGACATTAAGATTGCATGGTGTCTTGTTTTCTATTTGGTAGGTTTTGACAGAATTGATAGTTTTACAACATTTAACTCAATATGCATAGAAATATAAGATTAAAGCTGTGAGTGCAATTTTTTTTTTCTAAAAAAAGATCACTCCATGGCTTAAAAGCTGAAATGTGTTACCTGCCTAACATTGACAGAAACAAACTCAAGGGAAAATCAAAAGTGGATTTGATGTTGAGTTTTAGAAATCTCTTCTCTACTGGTATAAAGATTCCTGTGGGTCTTAGGGTTTGCTACCTGAGGGCTTTAAAATAAGACAAGGGGATGAATTGCAGAAAGGGGCAAAACCCCCCAAAAAACCATCCCATTTTATTACCTAGATATAGGCTATGTGTTCTAATGTCAAAACCTCTGGTTGAAAAGTGAAACGTCATTAATATCTGGTATTTGATGTCACATAGATGAACAGAAATCCCTGTAATACAGTTATCTGAATGCAATCTTTTCTTTTTTTCTTTTCTTTTGTTTTTTAATTGATTTTGAGAAACCAGTTTGTGGGTACTGATACGTATAAATGTGAGTTTTATTTGATGTGGTAGACAAGTCACCAGAATGAGAATCAGCAGACCTGATGTTTTCTGTCTACTTGGCTCAGTGACTTGAAATGTCTGGGCCTTAAATGTTCTCTTTTGTAAAATGAGAGAGAGATTCTTACTTCTCTGCCTTGTCTCTCCTGCCTTTGTACTTGTAGTGCTCTGATTTTCTATAGTAACTCATTTGATTCCTCATATAAGCTGCCTTGTATCAATACGCATTTATCAATATGCCTTATATGTGTGTGTATATATGTGTATATGTCTTATTTTCTTAACTAGGTTGTAAGTTTTCAAGGACAAAGATCATGATATGTGTATGTCTGTATTCTCATAACAGATACTAGAGTTTTCTAGCATAGA